CTTTTCGTTCGGGAGTTATGGTATACGAACACTCTCCCTTCGACTCCCGAACGAGAACCACCCCTGTACCCCATTAGAACGTTCACACCAGCAGCATAAGTGCGAAACCGCAAGGGATGTAATTAATGAGGTGGCCGCCATTTCGTATAACCAAATGCACATGGTCGACAAAAGAGTGGCGGGCATTTTGTCTCCCTAACGTGGGCAGCGGCACTTGGTCGTTGAGTGCCTGGAACTCTTTTCAAGTAGACACTCGCATGAACTCTTGTTCGTTATACCGCTGTCCGTTCTATTTTCTGACCAACTATGTGAACAACGTTCAGGAGATAGGAACTACCGACCAGGGGGAGCATTCGTACACTGAAATGAAAGAATCCCTTGCATGGTGTCCGCACAGAGACTGGCAGGGGGAACCTATTCCCCTGGAACTGTTTTGGGCTATCCCATTGTGTCCAGCCGGTCAAAACCGGGCATTCCAGTTTCACCGAACCGATCTGAGTGATATTTGGTTCTACACTCAGATCATGGCTTTACGGGGAAATAGCTTTTGTGAGGTTCCTAGTTACGGTGGGAGTACTTTTGGAGTACTGTATATTTTGTATAGGTTTTTTGTACCTGAGAGATAATTGAATTATAAGTTTTTCTCACGCAATTATCTCTCAGTACAAAGGACCCTGAGAAGGAAAACCCTGTATTATGGTGTTGGAGACACTGTGCATAAAATCTGTGTGTGCTCGGAAATAAATCAGTTGACTCCCAGAACTATGTTTTGTCTGGTTACTGGGGGATTGGATGCTTTAATGGTTTCACTCTGGCTGAGAGAAAAAATTAGTGGAGGTTTTAGGGAATGGAGATCTTGGAAAAAGAACTATTTGGATAAATTTAGGGACTAGTAATTTTGGATCAGGAATAAGGAAACATGGATGAATACACTCTTAGATAATTTTCAAATGTTTTAAATCAACGGAGTGTTGCTCTAAGAAGACAAATGCTGTCTTGTTGATGTTTGTAGGGCCTGAAGCTGATTTTCTAGACAGAATATTTATTGGGCGTAAACTATTAATGGATTTTATGTTTTTTAATGCTAACATAATTTTGCACTTATGAATTTTCCAGGGTCGAGGTGTAACGGCACCCCAAGGCATAAAAGGGTTAAAAGCCCGTTCAATAGATCTTCCCTTCCAGAGACACAGGCACAGCTACTGCAGAACAAAAATCCGCCGAAGAGGAAACCATATGAATGCCGTAAACAGCCGAATAGGAAAAACCATACGAATAGGTTTACACTCCTAGCAGTCAGACAGGAACAGCATACAGTAAATCCCCCCAAGAACGAGACAAGGATCCGTTTTGAGGGTCAAGCAGGAACAGACAGAGCTGTGGGTTTATTGTTCTTATGTACACATTCTTACACATTAGTACCACCCACAGTGTTTTGGAACACAACCAATAAACACATACAATACACTCAGACTCCCCCACACAAAATCCTCCCCTGCTTGCCACAATGGGTAATGTAATTATCACAAGCAGAGAAATACAACTTTTCCACATTATTCGTAACTTGAAAAGTATTCATCACATTCACATTTTCAGAATCAGCATACTCCAAATACAAACATTTGTCAAAATCATCCAAATTGGTCCAGTAGTTCAAAAGATAGATCGTAGTCCTTTGTGACCAAAAGAAGCATGGCTTTTCTGCCCAAAACCAGTTCCACAGAGTCTTCTATCCTGGAGATAATTGGGAAGTAATCCAATATCTCCAAGGACAGAGTCAAAACTCCACTGAACACATGGCAGCAAAAGACAATAAAACACATAAAAACATATAACTGTGCAGCCATTGCACAAAACAGGTACATTCAACATATCCCCAGATAGCTCAGATCTGAGCGCACATTATTACTGACTGGCGCTCAGAGCACACACATACAGTTCAATTGCCATGGAGCGAAAGTCTTTCCCATAGTCTTTCATTATACGAATGGGCTCCATGGCATAGCTATCTGGGGTATCACCGCTCAAACAGGGCCAGCACCGAATGACCCGGCTTTCGTGTCTTCGCAGGGGAAAATCAAGCGTTTCAACATGGGCCATAGTCTAAAGGCAGCAGGCGGTCAGCCAGGCTTCTCCAATGCAATGTGGTGAGATTGCTCTCGTCACATCTCTCCCCTTTTCCAAACAGACTAACAGGGTATCTGACCTCCTGCCGGTCAGTGCCCTTGTTAGTTCAGCAGCCCACCCACAAAACACAATCAGCAGTACAGCCCACCCACAATACCTGGGTAGAGGAGAAACTTGTCCATGTCCAGGTGCCTCACCACAGCTGTGCGGGGGACTGGTAGGCTGCTTTGGTGATTGGGCAGAGACCAGCGGTACTCTGCCCTGGTACCAGCGCTACTGAGGAGGTAGCCTGGTTGGAGCCTGGTTGTTGGAGGGGGAGACCGACTGTCTCCCCTTTAGATACACAGCTCTGCTGCCGGAGGGGGAGACCGACTGTCTCCCCTTTGGCTAAACAGCCCTGTCGCTGGGGGGCAGAACTGACCGTCCTTACCCCCTGTGCTGTAAGTGCAGAGACCACGGTCCCATCTGCACAGTTGTGGGGATTACTGTCTCCCCCTGGTACATTAAGCTGCCGCTGGGGAGAGGGGGTAACAAGCTACTCTCCCATATATACTTCCAGCCACGGGGGAGGGAGACCGACTGTCTCTGCTCCCAATACAGGGTCCTGCTGCTGGGGAAAGGAGACTGGGCTCTCTATTCCCTGTAGGACACTCTGCCGCTAGGGAATGGAGACTGGGCTCCCAATTCCCACTAAATCATACTGCCGCTGGGGAATGGAGACTGGGCTCTCAATTCCCACTAACTCAGCCTGCCGCTGGGGAATGGAGACTGGGCTCCCAATTCCCTGTAATTCACACTGCCGCTGGGATCTGAGCCGACTGCCCAGCATCCCTGTAGCTCACCCTGCCACTGGGGAGGGAGGACGTTGCTCTCCTCTCCCTGCAAGGTACACTGCCGCTGGGGGACAGGACCAACTGTCTCTGCCCCCTGTAACTCAGCCTGCCGCTGGGGAATGGAGACTGGGCTCCCTATTCCCTGCATATCACACTGCCGCTGGGTAATGGAGACTGGGCTCCCAATTCCCTGCATATCACACTGCCGCTGGGGAATTGAGACTGTGCTCCCAATTCCCTGCAGTACCTGCCGCTGGAGTTCCTCCCAACGTGCCAGCTGACCTTCTCTTTCTGCCCGGTATTGCAGATTCCTCAACACTATGTTCCTTATAAGCTGCACCGATTTCTCCGGTGGATTGGGTCCGTAGTGCTTCAGCCGCAATCCCATCATATTGTCAAACTCTTTCATAGAGTAGCTGTACGCCACTGCTGGTTCCATCCTGGTGCTGTCAGGGTCGCTGTACTGGGACATGCATTGCCCTTAACTTGTAAATCCAAAGAAATGGTGTCTCCTGTAGCTGTCCTTCTGGCTGTGGGAACGATCCCACTGCTTGCCACCAATTGTAACGGCACCCCGGGCATAAAAGGGGTTAACAGCCGTTTACTAGATCTTCCCCTTCCAGAGACACAGGCACAGCTACTGTAGACACCAACCCACCGAACCGGAGAAGCATATGAATGCTCTCAAACATACCAATGCTGTAGACAGCTGAATAGGAAAAACCATACGAATAGGTTTACACTCCTAGCTGTCAAACTGGAACAGCATACAATAAATCCCCCCAAGAACGAGACAAGGCTCCGTTTTGAGGGTCAAGCAGGAACAGACAGAGCTGTTGGTTTATTGTTCTTATATACACATTAGAACCACCCACAGGGTTTTGGAACACAACCAATAAATACATACAATACACTCAGACACTCCCACACAAAATCCTCCCCTCTGCCTGTGATACAATTACCTTACACAATGGGTAATGTAATTATCACAAGCAGAGAAATACAACTTTTCCACATTATTCATAACTTGAAAAGTATTCATCACA